CATTCATTCTTTATCATGAAAGGAGTGAAGAAACCCCACGGTAGCCTTAGGGCGTTCAAAGGCAAGTTATGCTTTGTAAAATTAAAGTTTGATTTGAATATTCACTAATTCTGCAAACAGCTTTTGGGTAGTTTATATGAAATACTTTTGGAAAGCAGAAATTACCTTCGGGGTGATATTATATACTATTATACACTTACAATGACAAATTACAATTTGATGATTTGTGTTATATGGTTTCTATGTTCTCATATTAAGGGGCCGTTTACACGACAACATTTTCAACTAAAACCATTTTTAACCAATCCGCTTTCAACAGCATTTCTCAGGAATCGCTTACTCAACATTAAATGCATTTCACAACACAGGGTTATTTGAAAATAGACCAGTGAAGACAAATAGATTACTAAAAATGCTGTTTGAAATCTAGAATTTATTTTCTTTTGTAGTTCCAGTGCTGAACAAAAGTAACTACTTTGATTAAAATCTTGATGTTGATTAAAACAAGTTATTATGCATATGTTATTATACAAGTTATGGATATCATCTACTCTTGTACCAAAGTAGAGTGGAAGGGCTTATTTACTTTTATATTTAGTTAGCAGATGAAAAGATTGATATTGCCTGTCCTTCCCAATTGGAGGAGAACCATACCATACATCCATTAAATTCAAAATTGTAACAATGTAACAATATAGTTAAACAAATCATACACCACAAAATTTGGTCACACAATTTTCACTAAAATATTTTATTATTTTTCAGTTTTGTGAACATTTGTGAGTGATGGTGCAAATGAATAATAAAATTAGTAGTTTGAATCAATTCATCAAAACAAGTTTATTTACATTTCATGAGATATACTGTATATATATATATATATATATATATATACATTCTTAAAGAAATTCAGCAAGAATATATTAAATTGATTAGAAGTGACAGTAAAGACATAATACTGTACAAAAGATTTCTATTTCAGATGCTGTTCTTTTAAACATTTTCCACAAAAATGTAAAGCAGAACAACTTTTCAACATTAATAATAAGAAATGTTTCTTGAGCAGCACATCAGTATATTAGACTGATTTCTGAAGCATCATGTGACACTAAAGACTGGAAAATTCTGTAAATGCCATCACTGTCACTATTGGTGGCTGTACTAAATCACACGAAGAAGGATACGACACTATTATTAATTCAACGATCTAAAATACACAGCAGAGAGAAAGTAACAATCACATAAAGATGACACGGAACAATAAACAGAGGAAACTGAAGACTTAGGGCCCTATCTTGCACCCGGCGCAAATTTGTACACTAACGCATGGATAATTCCTATTTTGCACCCGTGCAAAGTGGGCTTTTCCCTCCTCAGACGCACATTGGCAATCTAGGAAATTAACTTGCACTCCCTGGGCGGGTCGGCGCAAAAAGGAGGCGTGTTTCGGTGCAAACATTCCATAGTGCTATTTTGCAGTTCCAGAAAACAATTCGCCACTGACCAGAAAAACTTAGTGTAAAGTCAGTGGTGTTATGAGGGTGACTGATGAACCCAATAGCTGACAGTAACTGATTCAAAAAGGGGTTTATTTAAGGACAAAAACAGAAAGCAAAACCCATGATGGGGCAAAACAAGACAGGGTAGAACACACTAGACTATGGCTATAAACTAAGACAGGAACAAACTCTTCTTGTAGAAAAGACTCTCAACAGGTTACTCACGGATTGATACAAACACAAAGTATGACCATGTCAAACAATGAACCGACACAGGACAGCAAACACAAGGGGATTAAATAGGGAATACTAATGACGAGGACAGGTGAAACTGACTTGACAATAATGACAAGAAGAGGATAACAAGGGGTCGGGGACACAAACAAGACAACACAAGCACATGGCCCAAACAGGCCATGCACTTGTACACAAAACATGGGTCTGTCATGATCCTGCCACAAGATCAAGAAAAATCTAAGACATGATGGCAGAATCATGACAGAACCCCCACCTTAAGGAGCGGCTTCCAGACGCTCCTCAAGGAGACATCAAACACGGAACAAGATCGACTGAGACGAAGACAAGAACCAACAATACATAACAAATAACAATAAGGGCATACAAAAATAAACAATGAAAGGATTGGGGTGAAACATCAAAAACATCATACAGGGCAGAGGGGGTGGAGGAAACACAATGTTCAGGAAGTGTACCAGAGTTTGTGAGGGATGGTTCAGGGTGGGTCGATGTGCAAGGGATCTTAGGTCCATGGGATGAGGACTGGGGACGAGGACTCTGGGCTGGCTTGGACAGAGACACACAAGGAGAAGACGAGGTCTCGCGGAGACTGGGACAAACGGGGAAACAGACCGGGGCTTAGTAGTGACAGGGGTGGCCGAGGAAACACACTGGGGTGCTGCATTAACAGCAGCAACAGTCTCAGACACAGAGGAAACAGAGGATGACGAAACAGGACTCCTGACGGGGGACAAGGCAGGTGAAGGCGCGGGACACAAGACAGGAGGTGAAACAGACGATTGTGGAGCTGGAACAGGGACAGAGATCAGGGAAGACGACCCAGAATCGACACTTCTCACTTCAAATTCAGTTGAGGCGTCAAAGGTAGCTGACTGGGGATCTGAGCCCTTGGCAGCTGGCCTGGGATCAGCATTTACGGCAACTGGCTTGAGACCAGCGCTCACTGAGGTTGGACTGCGATCACACCTCTCAGCAGATGACTTGAGAACAGTGCTCTGTGCAACAGGCTTGGGATCAGCACTCACGGTTACTGGACTGGGATCGGCGCTCTTCGGAGCATTTGAAACAGGGACTGGGGACAAGACAGGACTGACTGGGACATCAAGAATTCTGGTCAGACGAGATTAATATTCGGACAGGGTTCTGGCAGCGATGATGACTGGCATCTCCTGATGAGCCGAAACGGACTGTATAACAGCCTTTGCAGCAGAATCGGCCACTGCTCTCTCTTCTGCAGACATGACAGAAGACTCAGAGACGACATTCACAGTACAAGTCTCTGGAATGGATCTCCCCAACGCCGACTGGGAAAAGGCGCTTTCTGCAGCAGGTTGAAGAACTGTGTCTCCTGTTGCAGCGACCGGAACTGTGCTTACAGCAGCGGGGCCAGGAACAGCACTTCTGACTTCAGCAGCGGGTTGGAGAGCCATCGCGGTCTCAGGAGGGGTTAGAGACGGAGAACCAGAAGGTCCCCTCCTCCTCTTCTTCCTCCTGGGTCTCGGAGCGGAGACGGTTGCCAGACTAGTGGGAGACGGGGTGTAGTAGGAACCGTTATAGGAACTGGGAAACTCACAGCAGGCGAGGAGGATTCTGCGCAGGATGACTCCGATGCTGACTCCCATGACGGGTGCCTTCCACGCTTACCATGAAGACTGATGGACGTGGAAGGTGTCTCAGGAGTCACGGCAAGACTGGGTTGGTCCCCAAGTGTAGCAACGGCTAACAGACGACCCACAGGCATCACAGGAAGTGTAGCGGAAAATGAAGACCTTGTAGCACCCTGCAGCTCCCTCCATGACAGACTGTCCACCATACTGTGGAACGGGCAGCTGACCAGTCTTTCTCGTTCAGCGAGAGGGGGAGGATCGTTTAGACCCGCGATGAGGTAGCTCTTGACCAAGCCGTCTGGCAATAAAAACCTCCCTTCTTCCACGACCTGGGCATACTTCCTTAGGGTCAACCTACCCTGAGGAGGGAAAGGAAGCTTGCCTTCATGGGCGTCGGCGATAGTCGACTGCCACCATCATTCGGAGTCTGACAGCTGCTGAGTAGAGAAATCAGGCGCAATCAATGAGAAATCAATGCAAACTAAACAGACTATAACATTATCCTGATAAATTGCATTTTAATAAAAATGCATAATAAATTGCATTTTAATTTGCATTCTAAATAAATTGCATTTTAAAATATATTACAATAGAAATCAACTATTTTGAATTGTTATAATATTTCACAGTATTACTTTTTTTTGCTGTATTTTGATCAAATAAATGTCTTGGTGAGCATAAGCAACTTCTTAAAAAAAAAGAAAAAAAAATTGCTGACCCCAAACATTTTGAACTGTGTAATAGACGTGTATTCTGCCTGCTAACAAACAGTTTTGTCTCATGAAATCTATTTCGCCATGATAATGTATGTGATTTAGTGAATATTTAAGAATCTCAGCTATTTCACTTTTTATACCAGCGTTTTTTTTTTTTGTATTGGGAGTGTGAATTTTGCGTGTATGTGCGCTTGCAGCAGGTTTTTTTCTTCTTTGCACTGGTGCATCCTGTGTAAAACCTGTGTTGACTGCACTAACATGATACGGCTCGCCTCTAACCCAACTCCCACACACATCCTCACTGTCTCTCTCTCTCTTTCTCTCTCTCACTTTACTCTCATAGCATGTACAAATCTCTCCACTCATCCCCACATCCTCCCTCCATTTCCTGCTTTAATCTGGTTTTGATGGAACAGCCGTTATGCTGTCATTAGCTGCTGAGAGGAGAACTGGGCCTAATATCAGTCATTTCAGCATCAGCACAACCCTCACAGGGCTCATGTTCACTTAGACACCGTGCTGTTTCCTCTGCTGGTGCCACATATTCAGCATTTATTCGGGTAATCCTGAGCATGTGTGGTTGTTTATTTCCATTAGTATCATTACTGATAAGTAAGGCTTTCTCAGGTTGTGTGCAAATCTAATGAAGCATGAAATCACTGACACTAATTTATTGTATGTATATTATTATTTGTGATAAATTCCTATTTTTTACTTATTTGTAAGTGTTGGGAATTTATTGGGATAAATTGTATCACCTGTTATTGTTATAAAGATACAGTCTGTCTTTTCAGATAATGATAATGTTTACATTAAGTTGACTCAATGCTAATATTGCATTGTGGCCAGTGAAGATTATTGAAGATGTTCCTTTGCTTTGCTGCTGAAACATAATGTTCTTTTCTGGATGGTCCTTACAGATAGACTTGGAGCCAGAGGGGAAGGTCTTTGTCATTATCGACTTGTCCGGATCATCGAGTGAAGGTAAGACATCCTTGCAAACTTTCTGTGATTGCACTACCTGTCATTTAAAGACTGCTTGAATCATGTCCCTGTTAACCATTATACCTAATACAAGATTTATTATAAACACAGACGTCCAGTGCTGTCTGACACAGTGAATACTCACTGGATGTTTGAAATGAAAATAGACATACTCAGTGTATGGCATCAGGCCTTCAAGATTCATTTATTTTTAAATAAAATGAACACAATGAACAAAGCTGAAAATGGCATAGTTCTGTTAACATATGCCATTGTTTGAAATGCAGACTTCTGCTGAGTCTGTGCAGCTGCTCTTTCTGGAAAACATATGAAGAGCTGCAACTTTGTGATCGTAATGTTGCCTCCAGTGTAACTGGATTTAAAAAAAAAACAAACAAAAAAAAAAAAACACTTTTGTGTGATCATTGGACCCAGATCCAGTGTGGCATTTATTCCACCCAGATAACCTTCCAGATGTGCCTCTATCACGAACACTTGCTTTGGCCCAAATCCTATCATACCCCTGCCTTCCCTGGATACACATCAGAGATGGCCCACATCAAGAGCTCCTTCATCCTCTCGGCTCAACTCCTGCTCCTGGAGGCAGAACATGTGATCACTTGCCTCTCACACTGATCTAGATGCTGCATATCAAACATCTCCTCGTGTCTACACAGACCTTGTGTCTGCACCATCAGTGGTGGAATGGCAGAGTTTGCAAAACTGTTAGCCAGGAATTTCTCCAGGAATAGTCATACGAAGAGAGGCAAGCAATTGTCATGTTTTGGAAAGGCATATGTTGTATTTTGAATGGTTATCCCTGAGAAAAGATGCAACCAATCATCTTAGCTAGCAAAACCCAAGAGGTTTAATAAAACGGGAAAGAGTTAACCCATGTCAGTGCCTGTAGCTCGGGTGTTACGCAAGTGGCACAATATGTTAACAAAGCTAAACATGGTTAAATTAAAAATTTCCTTTAATTTTTTTTTTTATTAGCATTCGGTTACCAAGCCAAATGCTTTAGCCCAAAGTATACTTTGTTTTTTACTTGTACTCTTTAAGTTTTACAATGTAAATTTCATTATCAGCAGTATTTGCATACTGTACTGTACATGCACAGATCAGTTTTTCTAACCACACATACTCTGTACTCTCAGATTGCACCTTGAATTTGTCCACAAAGTAGCAATACTGTCCCAATCCTTTGTTTCACAGTTGAAAAAGAAATGGAAGAGAGTCCTGTTGAAATATCCAGCATTATTGGTCACCACTATAAGTTATGTTTTGCATGCTGAGCCTACTATGGGATGCTGGTTATTGGTTTTCTGGTCCCCAGCAAGGGAAGCGTGAGTGCTGGTGGACCAGCTACACCAGACTGATTTTGCTTGAGTTCAACATGACTATTAACATGACTGTTCAACATGACAGTTAGACCAGCACTATACCAGCTCAAACCAACATAAACTAGCCTGGACCAACATGGAGTTCATGTTGGTTTATTCTTGATTTTTTTTAGCCAGGATGAAACAACAAAAACAAACTATTAGAGAGCAAAACAATAGACTTGAACTTTCATAAGCGCATGTGTGAGGGGGTTAAGAGATGCACAAAACTCTAGTTTGAACGAGAATCGACTCTTTACATCACATATTTTGGAGAGAAATGGCGCAAACACTGGAAAAAAATTTAACTTAAGCATGTGTCAAATGTTATCAAATGCGTACAACATGCACTTCAGGGTTCAGCTGTCAACGTTGCAGTCTCCAGTCGTCTCTTCCTCTGTGCCTTCCTTTTCTTTTTACCATGAAACAATGGCCTGGGGGAAAACTGTAGCCCAGACCAGTGTTGCCATCTTGTGGAACAATTAATTGCAAAAAAATCACTGCACAATGTGGTACACTTGGCAAATGGTTAGAAACAATGGCCATGTATGTTTGTACTATACAGATGAAGAAATTATGCTAGTGTATGCATAAAAATGAAGTGTACTTTGAGCCTTAGCTGGAACTTTGCATTAGTTGCATCTTTTAAGGAACAGGTAAAAAAAAAAGTGTGTTTTGTTTCTGTCACTCTCATTCTGTTTCAGAATGTTTTAATTGGATACTTATTCATTTTACTGGAAAACAGTCTACGTGACTCATATTTCATTGCATTTAATCGATGTTTGCATCAGGAAGTGCATACTTAACATTTCGTTTTCATGAAAGTTGGAGGATGACTCATCAAAGAGTGGTAGAGAAGATGTGTTTATCAGCAGTTGCAGAACTGGAGCTCATTTTTCTCAGAGTCTGGTCTGATGTTAAAGATATTGATGTACAACCACAATAGATATTGAAGAAGAGACATAAAACATGAATTTCCTGGTTATTAATAGGCCTTTGAAGTGTGTTGTGCATCATACAGTACATTTTGCAGATGCCAATCTGTTTTGCAAACTGCCATTCTGCAGTTGACTGGTGTAAATCTGATCTGTGCTTGCGTCAACTAACTCCATATTGGCATTGGTTCTTCTGATCAGATGGACAGGCGGCTTTGACTAATTTCGGGTTTTGTCCCTTATGGTTTGGGTTGTTTAAAATTGATCTCAAGGCATCCTTCATGCTCAGCACTGTACTGAAGTGAACAAAAGTTTACATGGTCTGTCCATTCCCAGGGTCTTTTTACAGTGTGACAGTAGAGGGACCTGGGAGTCTGGTACTCACCTCAAAAACCCACAGGCTTTGAGCAGATTTGTCATAACATTGGTGCCTTGAGACAAACTTGCATGACTTTCTTTCTTCTGTGGAGCTTCTACCTTCCTGTAGCTTGAACAGTAGAACATGGTACTAGTAACTCGAAGGTCATGGGTTTGATTCCCTGGAAAAGCAAGAACTTGTACAGTATTTACCTTAAATGCAGTGTAAAGGCCAAATAATACTTCAGCCGTCCGCTTTCCACAACTGAATGTGACTTTCTGCGTGTAATTTTCGTCATCAAGAGGGTCCTTGGATGTGTGCGCACAACTGTCCGCAGGCAGCCCAATTTTTGTGTCCATGAAGCAGATGGTGCGTGTACAAAACTGCATGTGCAAGTGACTTGAAAACACGTTTGAAAACACCGTCCACTAGAAATGTCTCAATATTTTTCATTGTCACCTAGCTATATACAGTGTTGTAGTCGAGACCACCTCACTCGAGTCCGAGTCGAGACCGAGACCAGAGAGAGTCGAGTCCGAGTCAAGACCGAGTCCATAGAGAGTCGAGTCCAAGTCGAGTCCAAGACCAGAGATGGTCGAGTCGAGACCGAGACCAGTGAGGGTTGATTACCTAATTTACTTTTATTTACTTAGAGAAATCCTTTTTTATTTTACTGAATTTACTTAGAGTTTAAAAAATATGATCAGTTTAGGGTAAAAAGGCCACATAGTAGGTGGTGTTAAAAGTAATTTTATTACAATTTGTCATGCGCAGTTGCGCACTAGAAAATCACCAATCACTGGGCGTGTCAATCAATTTAAAGAAATATTTTATTAACATACATTAATAATCATGAAAAATATTTTTAATTGAACTCGAGTGGACTCGGGAATAAGTCCGAGTCCTAAAAAAAAAAAATGTTCGAGTACGAGTCAATTCCGAGTCCAAATGCACACGAGTCCATGACAAGACCAAGACCATTAAAATATGGTCTCGAGACCGAGTCCGAGACGAGTCCGAGTCTCGAGTACTACAACACTGACTATATATACATCTTAGTCAAGCACAAGATAAAATAAAATGTTTGACCGATGAGCTGAAGTTTGCATTTTCCAGCCACGTGACCAGGTAATGGTACTTTTGCCAGTTGTGGGCTCGCCATTTCAGGCTGTTTTTGTGGGTCCAAATACTGTTGTTATCGTAAAAGATCGTTATCTGTCAGATCGTAAAAAGTCGATCTAAAGTCGTAAAAATCGTAAACACTCTCACGCACGCATCAAATGTCACACCAAAATCCATTTTTCTCCCCTCTCAATCCATTAATTTTCTGTTGATGACTAGACCAGCATCTGCCCACAGCGTTCTCATGGCAGTATTCTCTGATCGTTGATTCGCTGAAAACCTTGCACCTGATATACGTCAGTTGCGGGAGAGACTTCAGAGCATAGGTTCGGAGTCGGAGCCAACTGATGCATGTTTGAAAGTTTGAATGACAATCGAGGTAAGCGGATAATACAATGGTGTGCCTTGTCACTAGTGACGTAGCCTTGCCTTATCAGTCTGCGTGCCGACACTACAGCCTTCAACTGGTTGCAAACGTTGTCTGACGTGGGATATGTGGGCTAGCTAATTGTTCAATAAAAATAGGCTCATGGTACAAATTACGTTTTGGCAAATCGGGCAATTGGCCTTTTAAAAATTCACCAAATTATCAAAGGTTGTGCAGATTTTGTTGAGCCTGCCACACTCAAATGTGGATGCTGAGCGAACCTTTTAATTTATTATCAAGACTGACCCCACAGACTGTCACTTGATGGCACCCTGTGATGGGAAGTTCGGATCATTTTACTGAATCGCTTGTTCGATCTCGTTCATTAAAATGAACAAATCTTTTTTCCAGACAACACAGAACTATGAGAATTTTTGATCCTAAATTCAGAATTGTTAGCAACTTTAGACATTGCTGCGGAGACTGAATTTGACCCTGACGATTGTGTTTTACTGGTACTTTTTACGAAACTCTTTTTTGTTATGTATCTACCTAGTCAGCAAATTTTTAAATGTCTGTTTTGCCATAATGATTTCATGTAATGTTACATGAGGAGCTGCTACTTCATGTGCTTAAATGTTTGTGCTAAAAATGTGATATGGCCATGCACCTTTTTGACCACTGCCCAAAACCACTGAAAGTGGTCTGAGTGATCGGAACACAGAACGTTCTGTTTTCTTTTATCTGTGTTTAGCATCAAGTTTCTTCTAATCCTCGAACACTACGTTTTAAACTCTGGTACATAAGTTGTCATGCTGTGTTCATGCTACGGACATGAATGATGCCTAATATTACAATATGCTGCTTGTTGAGAAGCAATCCGACATGTGATTTTTTTTTCCAGTGGACCATAAGATAGGAACCCTAGCCATATCTAAAGACCTGAATAAAAAAAGATCTTTGAAAACACAAGCAATCTGTGCGTTCTGTTTTCTCCTCCAAAAACACAGGCTTTCTTTTCCTTGGAACTGTAATTGGGAGAAATGCCTCTTCGGTTCTGATTGGAGTTCTTTGTGTGTGCCTCTAAGGGTCGTTATACCGTATAATAAATGATTTGATGAAGACTTTATTAAGCCAGATGCCAGGTGAAGGAGGTAACCTTTTTACTCATCATGTTTAGAAAACTTCAAATGCAAGTGGAACGGATCTTCAGTAACTGTGTGGAGTGTTTGTGAATGTTTTTGTCAAACAAAGCAAGTGTGAACATGTAAAACCCCTCTCTTGGTATATTTGCTTTTTTTGTGGAAGTGGCTTGCCAGTGTTTGAATGTACATACATGCTATTTGTTGTGGTTTTATACATGTTATTTTGTTGCCGACATGTTATTTCAGTGGTTTTCAGTTTGTGGGTCATGGCCCAAAAATGCTTTACAACTTTCTATTCTAATAGGGTCACAGACAGGGAAAAACAAAGCTAAATGCATATGATAAAATGGAACTAACCCTATAATCACGGAGAGTTAAGTAAAAAAAAAATAAGAAAAACGGTCACACTTAGCTTAGGGTCAAACTCTTACAATTAACTATGACTTTTGCCTCAGTAAACCACTAATTACTGCTTATTAATAGTTAATAAGGTAGTTGTTAAGTTTAGTCATGGGATAGGATTAAGGATTAAGGGATATAGAAAAAGGTCATGCAGAATAAGGCATTTATATGTGCTCTATAAGTAATAATAAACAGCCAAACTAAACTAAAGTGTTACCAGAAAAAAAGCATCAAATCCACTATGCTAGGTTTCTTTTAATTTATTTTGAACAGACACTTAGTGGCATTTTGTCCCCCCTGGAGTA